TTCCCCTTCCCCAATTCCCCAACACTTCCTCTCCCCCAATTCCCCAATAAAAAAATCTTAAAAAAAAAAAAGAGTAGAACATATACCAGACAACAGGGGGTTACAACAAACCTTCATCTTAATAGCATTTCATAGAAAACTCTAACAGACTCTGGTTTTGCAAACAGTCTAAGAATAAGGTTACAAATGAAAATCTAGATACATACATACATATCCATCCTTAAATATATATATCAGAAGACAAGGAAAATATCAACACTCTTAATTGCAATTCATCTTGACCTTAAATATTATTCCATAAAGGTAAAAACTATGTCTATATAGTAATACCTAACAAATTCAGACCTCACTGATTTATGCTGTTAACTCAAATGATACAGAAAGTTTTAGACTAAGCATCTCAGAAGTCACTTAATTCAAAATCCCCTAATTTAGAAATGAGATTAAGATACCACTCTATAAAAAAGAAAAAAACCCTGCCACTTTGAAAAAGCTCAGGCCCCTCATGTCCAAATTTAACAGTGACATTTACTGAATATGGCCACGTGTAAAAAAAGAAAAAGAAAAAGAAAGAAAGAAAAAGAAAATGGAAAGGAAGGTGGTGGTTTCACTGCTTGTTATAGACAAGAAAAAACAATACTGGACTGGTAAGTGCTGAAAAAGTAGACATATAATAATGAAATCTTAACTCTTTTGGTATGTAAGGCTAGCAAAGCAAGTAGTTCCTTAAGAACAGAGCCCCATCTATCATTCTCAGGGGGTACTTGTATCATAGGGGTACAAGTTTATAAGCCACTAGCACTTGAGGAAGAACTTATGATGTTGGTAGAGGCACTCTTACACCTTATTCCTATACATCAGAAACTGATAGATCTGGTCAAGGACTAGAAAAACAATTTTGAGAGCAAAATGTGCCCCAATTTTTCTGTGCAAGTTTTATAATTTTAAAATATATTGAACAGAACATGATAAAGGACAATCAAGGTATGCAGAAAAAGAGAAATGAACCAACCACATAATAGCAAAATATTTTCACAGGAGTTAAAAGAATAAGCTTAAAAGTAGTAAAAATAGGGTTTCGAACTGAAATGAAGAAACAAAAATAGTTATGGCAGTAGCAAAAAGAAACAGATTTTGGAATAAAGGCTCAGAATCACATATTAAAGTCCATAGTATTTTTTTTTTTAATTCCTAAATATACAATAGATTTTCCCCTTCCTCAAAATAACCCAACCTATGATCTTTGGGGAAAATTGTATTAAGTTGATAGGTAAACTTCCTGACTAACACTGGATTGTTAAAGGATGCAAGAGCTGACATACCAAAAGACTTAAGAAAAACACTAATATTTGAAATAAAATCAACTGTTTTTAGCAACATAATTATGAGAGGCCATATTTTTATCTTTCTTAAAGCTGTTTCATTTTCCATTTCTTGAAAAGTAAATGAAAGTTTTGCCTTTGGGAAAAGATAAGCAATGATATATTGTATATTGAGGTATAAAATTTACAGGGAATGTGTACATCAAAAGATATATGTGAAATGCTCACAGCAGCACTATTCCTGACATCCAAATACAAAAACAACAGCTATTTCTGTCAACTGTAGAACAAATAAATTGTAGCATATACATACAATGTAATGTTACACAGCAGCAAGAATGAACAAACTATTGCTACAAGCAACAACTGGATGAAACTAACACAAATATTAAGTGAAAGAAGTCAGACCATAGGAATACATATACCCAGTGGTTAGAAACACAGAATTGGGGGAAGTGACTGGGAAGGCATGTGGGGTGGGGGGGTTACTTCTGGGTTGCTGGTAGTGTTTTATTTCTTGATCTAGGTATTATTGGTTACACAGATGTGTTCACCTTGTGAAAAGTCATTAGGTTGTGTACACCAATGATTGGTGCACTTGTATACTTTCATTAAAACCTTAGCTAAAGAAGGACTAATAAAAGTTATTGTCACAATTTAAATAACTATACATATAGTATATACACACATATAGACATACTTACATAGACTGTTTCTAATTCAAATGACCACTACTAATTTAAGTGACCCACACATACTGACACTCCTACCTGCTAATTCTTTCTCTTCTCTCCATTCCAATTTTCAGCCCACAATTAAGTCTTTTGAAAAAAACAAAAGTAAAATTTTAAGAAGATTTTTAGGTTCAGAAGTAGATTAGGAAAAACAATAAATGTGCAAGGTCAGTGATTCTTAAGAATCTTCTACTCTCCTCCTCCTTTGACATGCTCATTTTGCCTCTGAGAAAGCCCTCCTATATAAAAAGTCTTTGTCCAAATCACTTATTTCTCCTATCTCTTTTGCTGGGCCTAAAATACCAAAACTTGACTAATCAGTTCCTCAAAAAAATGCAAAGCATTTTAAAGGATAATTAAATCAGTCATTTACACACAACCATTTGTTAAATTTTACTCACTTTTAATTTTCCTTAAAGACTGGTTTTTTTTCTTCTTTAAGGTATGGTCAATTATGCGGGAAGACACAGTTACTAGTGATAGTACATATTGTATACCAACCCTGTCCATTTCAAAATATAACAGGTGAACAGAAAAAATTATTATTCTGTGTCCTCTTCCCCCCTCCCTTCCTCCACAGTGTTAAAAGAGTCTCACCAAGCCACCCGTCCTTTTATATACTGTGTTATATACTATGGATAAAAGATTCAAAATCATACTTGAATGTAAAAAAGAATTCTCGTGTCTAAACACCCAAGTACTTGGTAAACCAGCAAAGGCTAAATTGATTTATGTCAGTTATCAATACACTAAAAAAACCAACGCCACAGGTTGAACATATAGAGTAGCCAATTAATTTCACACTTAAGAAAAACTGTCAACATAGACTTTTACACAACCCAACTCAAACATCTGGCAAATGAGTGCTGTGGTACACTAGAGGAAAATAGTGAAACTAAGATTATTACTGTTAACAGAAAAACAATTTTAAAGTAAAGGTTGTTACTCTATTTCTATCACTCAAATAATTTCTAAGCTTTGAGAAAACAGAAAAGTAGGCTCTTTTCACAAAATAGATGAATGACACCTCTTCTCTCATGAGATGTGAAAGTATTCCTTAATGTTTTTTAAGGCTTAACCACCAGCTGAGAGAATAGCATTTAATAATTTTTTTCTCCTTTTTTGAACAGTCACACAATTTTCCATTTTAGAAGGGCAGAATATTTGGCAATTGGAGTTTTAGAAATTGGGAAAGTAAGCAACTAACATACAAAACTTAACATTTGCTTTAACATCCTATTTTATTTCAGGTGTTTTAAAATTAAAAAACAACGCATTCATTTTCAAAGTAAAGTAAATATTTTCAATATTTGCTTCAAATAAAATAAATATGTAAAGGAAGTTAGTTTCATTTCCCTATTTTCTAAGGAATAAGTTTAAGCACATTTCTTGCATTACACAAAAATCCCAACCTATGCATTTAAGGACACCTAGGCTAGCTATGGTAACAAAAGAATTAATCCACAATCCTGTCAAAATTACTGAAGTCTAATTTATCTCACATTTTTTTCCTTCCTGAAATAGTCCAGTCTATAACCATGAGCTAAAATGACCTAACACCCTTTATTCATAACTTATGAGTAATTCAAGGGAAATCAACCCTTCTTTGTACAATGAGTGCTTAGTGATCTCATCAGCAAGCTGGAAAAACATGCTGGCCAATCAGTGCAATCTCTTCTGGAGACAAATCTACATGAAAGGTAAAATTATGATCAGAAGGTTAACTTAGAAAATGTGAAACCAGATGATTTAACAATCAATAGTCTGCTGTTTATCAGTCTCCAACAGAATAGATGGAATCGCACAGGGGACAGATGTGCTGCACAGGCGAGGTTATACCCTCCACTGAAAGTGATGGAGACATTCTGCCTAATGTTATTTTGGTATCTCCCCTTGTTTATGGATAAACTAGGTGATACAAATCAATTTTGAATTCTTCTCTACTATGCGTATTCATTGATGTGTAATGTCCATCTTACAGAATTGTGAAGAGGGTTAAATGAGACAGTTTATAAGAAAGTGTCTGGCACAGATTCTAGTACATAAGCAGAAAGTCAGTGTTTATTATTATTCCAAATATCTGTTTCTTCTGTTTCCTTTTTCTTTCTTCGAAGGATATTTCAGTTCATTAGATACAAGATTAGTGATTTAAATTACAAACCAGTCTCTCTGAGGTTACACCAAGTCTTCTAGATTGCATTTTGGGGTATGCCAGAAACTAATGACTCTCACATTTTATCTCTTGGGTTTAGTTTTATACACAGCCGACTTCATTCCTTACCATCATTTTTAATATTTAAAAGAGCTGCCATTTACTGAGCATCTACTATATGCTGGGTACTTTACTATCTCTTATCCTTACAATTATTCCATAAAGCAAGTATTATCATCCCCATTTTAAAGATAATGCAGTAAGGCTCCAAGAGGTGATCCCTTGCCCCATGTCAAACAGCTCATTACTGGTGTAGCAGGAATGGAACTCAGGTCTAGCTAGTTCTAACTCATACTACCCAGTTGTTTCATTCCTTATATTTTGCTTCTTTATAATTTTATTTTCAGAGGTTAACAACTGCAATTTGGGGGCACCTTGCTAGCAATCTCACGTATTAACCAGAGTTCTCTCGAAGACTAGAATGCAATTAAAAGGGTGTTTCAAAATTAAGTAGTGAAATGGAAGGTCTAAAACAGAATAACCAGTGGTACAAGATAGGCACAACATAAGATTAACTTAGTTAGGAATAAATAGGGGACAATAATAAGAGAACTAAAGTTGAAATAACTCATTATAGATTTTTTTTGGTTCTCTCTTTTTATCAATTATTTTCAAAGTTAAAACAAATAGGAAAAAAAAAAACAAAAAAGAAAATACTAGCCTTGAATTCTACCAAATCTAAGTACGGGCTCTCACCAACAGGTCAAGATCTAATGGTGATTCTTGCCTTACCTGGTAGGTCTCCAAGCTGCTTGGCCTTTCCTTCGGTTTGCCAGTATTTTCAGTAAAGAAAGAGAAAAGCAGTACAGGGACAACCCTTAGGCCTAATCAGCAGAACTTTAACATCAGCATTGTCACTATCCCATGTCTATTCCTCAAATAATTTCTAAGTGTTGAGAAAATAGACTCTCTTTACACACACACACACACACACACACACACACACACACACACACACACANAGGGGAGATTCTAAGGAGCAGGTCAGGAAACAAATGCATAGGCCTAGAAAGAGGAAGGAAGGAAGGAAGGAAGGGAGGGAGGGAGGGAGGGAGGGAGGAAGGAAGGAAGGAAGGAAGGAAGGAAGGAAGGAAGGAAGGAAGGGAGGAAGGAAGAAAAAGAGAGAAAAAGGACAGCAGTTGGAGGTTTATCTATGTTACAATAGTGAATAGAATTAGATGTATTTGAATAGCAGACTACAATTTAAAAACTCACTTGGGCCTTCTTGAAAGCAGTAGAAATGACAAGTAGAACTGGAGCAGACAAAGAAATGGAAGAAAGTAATACACAAAGTAACACAAGTTATTCAAGGACTGCAGAATCTGAAAGCTAAAGGAAGTTGGGTTTTAGGGGAGGAGCACACATCAGGGGACATATTAGACCCCTCTGTGATCCTGAGCTTATGGCGTTTGGAAACATCAATAGATATTTCAGATGCAGGAATCTGTTGAGAGTAATAATCCAGCTAAGATACACTTCAGGCAAGGGGATCTTGGAAGCAAGGTTGATAGACCTAAGGAGTTTTAGAGCAGGAAAAAGTTTTGAGATCCTGCTGGAGATGGACAAATACCCAGAAAAGTTCGGCTGCAAAGCCATAAGTGTGGACTGCAGAGTTGCTTTTTTTTTAAAGATTTTATTGGGGAATTGGGGAGGAGAACAGTGTTGGGGAATTGGGGAAGAGGAACAGCCAAGTTGTTGTCCTTCAGTCTTAGTTGTGGAGGGTGCAGCTAGCTCAGCTCCAAGTCCATTTGCCATCTGGCCGCCCTTCAGCAGCTCGCAGCCTCTCAGCTCAAGGTGTCATGTTCAATCTTAGTTGTGGGGGTGCGCAGCCCACCATCCCATGCGGGAGTAGAACCAGCAACCTTGTTGTTAGGAGCATGTGCTCTCACCAGCTGAGCCATCCTGCAGCCTGTTTGCGGCTCAGTGGCAGCTCAGCTTGGACGCAGCTCACTGGCCCATATAGTAATCGAACCGGTGACCCTGTTGCTCAGAGCTCACACTCTTGAGTGAGCTCTTAACCAACTGAGCCACTCGGCTGGCCCTCTGAGCTCGCACTCTTAACCACTCGGCTGGCCCCAGAGTTGCTTATTATAAATGTGGAGTACTGTGTTCACACATGAAAAAGGGTGCTATGTCACTTAATGGAGGAGACCAGGCTCATTTAACACTGGGCTTGGCTTACAGGCCAGAAACACCAGACTCAAAAGGGAAATGGAAATAGAAGTGTTCAAAACATAGGAAGGATACCAACAGAAAGAAGGAAATTGGGGTGTGATCTAGACATTGGAGATACTACCACTGTAAACCTCCTAATTTCTCTTTAAACCTAGTAGGGCCCTACACTCATTCTTGAATTAATCTCTGGCAAAAGTGACGGGATCCCTCTTACACCAATCAGACTTGCCTCCATAGCTTCAGATGTGGTCAGCTGGGTGGAAAAAAATGTGGGCCCCTAGAGAAAATTAGTTTTTTGGGGGGAGAAGGAGGAAGATATTGTGTAGGAAGTTAACTATGTCCTTATTAAAAGCAACTATGTCCTGTCACAGTTAACCTCTTGATGGGAAATTTATCCCAACTAAATTTAAATTCACATGTAGTAGTTGGAAAACATCTTCTAATAGGCATCCTGGCAAGGCAGAAACAATAAACGATGTTCTCTCTTTATCTTTTGTTCCCTGTGCATTATTCCTCTTCCCCAGATAATAAATCTACTATGATCTCTGATGGGCAACAGCAACAAGGGTCTATATACTAGGTTTGAGGAACATCATTTTGGTTGTAAAGTGCTGTTACTGCAGGAGTCACATTTGCTTCTACATTTATGGTACACGAGAGATTTGGGTGGGTTGCTTCAATTTTGAAGGTACCGAAGGTGCTGTAACCATTATAATGGAAGAAGACTCAAGGTTTAGTGGCTGCAAAAAGAACCCAAACACCAAGGCATTTGAGGGAGAATCTTCTGACAGGGACTGAAAAGGTCAGGAAATTAGGGAGAAGAGTAATTGGACTTCAAGGTCTTTGGAGTTCAATTTACAGTAGAAAGAGAAATTCATTGAACTTCTCTGGTAATTTAATAATGGGAAGGGCTTCATATTGTTCCATTTTCAGCCATTCTTTGTTGTTTTATTTGGACTTTTAAGGGTAAGCACCGTGGGGCCAGCCGAGTGGTGCGATAGTTAAGAACTGTCTTGGGATGCCAGAGGGCCCTGGTTCGGATCCCACATATGCGGGCCAGTGACACTGCCCTCTACAGCTAAGATGCTGAACAACAGCTCAACCTGGAGCTGGGCNACACACACACACAGCTGGATAGCATCTTTCCACTCATGGGATGTAAATATTTTGAAGGCTCAGTCACCAGGTGGGACAGTAGTACGCTACAGCATTTAGTTCCTAAACAGGAAAAATCATGTTCTTTATCAAGAACTCTTCTATCTAGAAAGGTTACAGAAGTTTCTTATTCTATAAGTAGTAGGGAGAACCTGAAGGTAAAAATATCATGGGCTAGAACAATCCCACAGAAAGTATAATTAGCATGCATGACTAGAACACTAAGGAGTTTCCTGGCTACTGCATATTATAAATATGTAGCTCTATCATAAATATTTTATGTAATACAACACGTAGTGAATTATTTTTAAAAATTCAGTTAAAAAAGCCCCTTTAATTCTACAGACATAGATATTTTTATCCTACAAACACAGGATTAAAGAGACTGATTAAGTTTTTTACTCTCTACAAATACTTCAGACTAGAAATTAATAGCAAAATCCATTAATATGTTGTAGTCATTAAATTCTTGAACTATAAAATGATCAGTTAAAATTTCAGTCCTTCAAAACAATCTTATGACTATTCCAATAATTAGAACAAAAATTATACCCATTTTCCAAAACTTCCATATCAAGATTATTTTCAGAAGTCAAATTTCATCTTTTATTAAAACATAACAAATGAGAAACTAATAGTGATTGATTCCAGGTAGGAGAATTTGGTAGCTGAGGGCAGGTGTAGAAAAGGGACTTTTGAATTCTAAATCATATGCATTTATTACTGATTCAAAGTAATTGATTTTAAAAACTAAAAGTCCTCAGAATACACAGCACTTCTGCAAACTTGTAAGCTTTCTTCATACTTCTAGGGAAAAACTACCAAATAAGTATCAAAATAAATTCAGCAGAACAAGTTGCAAAAGCTAAAATCCTTTTTAGTATTTAACATATATATATATTATATATATATGTATATAATATATATATTATATATATAAAATCCATTCCGACACTACTTTCGGTTTCATTGAATCTGGAATATATTATCAAAGTGTCCCTATGTGAAACACAAATTATTTTCCACTAGCTTAAAGTGGTATGTGAAATCCTAAACTCAGGAATTTAAATGAAAAGACTAATGATTAGTGGAGTGTAAGTGTAAGAAATTCTCCCCCATGAAAGGCTTTGAAAAGTCCTCATAAGATTTCACTCTACAAGGCTGTTCCATTCTTCTTCAAACACTGGCCATTACTTGCGTGCACATTTAAGGATATGCAAAGGAAGTTTTTAGACCAATTAACCTGTGGGCAAAGAAGCAACTAATTCTGACAGAATTTTTGCTTGAAAAAAAAAAAACTATCTTGTAATTATTTTATTACCACTAAAAAGCCGAAAGTCCACCCTTTATATAAAATAAATGAGTTTATACAGAGTTAACTTGTTTTAAAACAGTGAGTCTCACTTATTCAATTCGTTACCTGGAAAGTTGTCTGATCCACTATTATGTAACTCTATCCAAGACTAATGCAAGAATTACATATCCATTAAGAGTCAGTAAAACCACACACACACACACACACACACACACACACACACACGGACAGTTAGGGGTAGTTCCTTAATTACCTTGTCAAAATTATGAAACCCAGAATATTCCTAAACAAACAACAAAACAAAACCTATCTAAACCAGAAATAGTGACATTTTGAACGCTCCATGAAACTTCTAAAATAAAAAGTATTTTTCTTGGCTAACTTCTGATCACTGTGTGTGAACTGTACATTTAAAAATGTAATCAAAAGGCCAATTTTTCAAAAAATGACATTTTTATATAGGGTTAACAAAATATTATTTTTAATCTTTTAATTCATCTTGATTTATTCATTTTGAGGCCATTTATTTGCCCTCTGAAAAGATCTATAGCAGTTTCTCTGAAGACTAATCAGCAATTTCTTTTCCCCTCTGTGCCAACATAGAATCTCTGGAACAATTTCTACTAGCTGCAGCAAAGCAACAATTCTACAGTGAATTTATTTGCCATTTGGTTAGGTACACAATGAAATTTTGATCCATGAACATCTTAGTTTATGGACATCAGTGATAAAAAAAATTGACAAACTGGCATGTGACTGCCAGCAACCAAATCAACTTACTTAAAAAGGAAACAGACTTTGGTAGCCATTAATTTCAAACAAATGAAAAGTGTCTAAGATAAAAGTACCTCAGCAAACTTTGAAATTACACACAAATCATGAAAAGACGTTTCAGAATAAACATTTAAAAATACACAATGGGACTAAATTAAGTTTGGCTGAAAGAATTTGACTCGGTGCTAATGTTATCAACAAATCATTACACCTTGAAAAAGCTTTACATCTAGCAATACAATCTTTATTATGCTAGGATTTCAATCTAGTACCATTGCTTTCTCATAAAATTTTGTCAATTCTAATACATATAGTGACAATTCTGGAAGAAG